ATAAAATTGGTATTGGTTCTAAACAAATCGAGTTTAATTTATATACATAGCTCAATTTTAACAAGGTAAACCGTAAACATAAGAAATAAATGATTTAAGAAGAAAATTGAAGGATAGTGTTACTATTTTGCATTTCTTTGTAGTGTACTATAATAATAATACTTTATATAAGACCCAATGAGAGGAAGAAATTGGTATTGGCACTGACACAAGTTCAAGCACTGAAACTGACAATATCTCCCTTTCGTACATACATATCCCAACACAATACCACTAACATTTGTCTTTTTAACCTTATCCTCTTCAATTTTCCTTTCAATAATCTTCTTAAATTAATCTTTCGTTCTTTGGAGCTCTTCTCTGTAACTTTTTACTTTCTTCCATTTTAACTTTGACCGTCTCATTCCACTTTGAAACTAAATTAAATGATAAAATTGTCTTGATTAAACACCATTGTTAAGATAAAATAAAGAAATTAAAAAAGAAAGATGAACCAAAGCCAATCATGCAGCAAGACCATAGTGGTCCAGGCCAAGGAACATAGCACGTGAACTTACAGCTTAGCTTTCAGATGTCTCCACGTTCTCTCTTTTTTTTCTTTCCCTTTTTCACCCCCACATTTTTAGATTTGACCCACTTTGACCCTAATTTCTCATAAAAGGTTTTGATGAAAAAACAAATAAACATAGCCTCATGAAATCCTTTTCTTTTGTCTGTAATTATTTCGGAAATTTATACCATTCGTTATGAAATTTATACATATAGATACCATCTAGATTCTGTATGACATCATCTTACATGTCCAGGTCCTACGTAAGGAAATAGTAACATTCACATTTTTTTACTTGTTATTTCTTTTTAAAAAAGGAAAAAAACTGATTATATATATTATTAAATTATAATTAATTTGCTTTCTCTTAATAATGAACTAGATGATCGACCCGCACCATGTGCGGGTATGAATTTTTTTTGTGAAATACGTTAATTTTGATATTTAATATACTTGGTTGTTAGTTTTTAAATTAATATACATGTAGGAAACTA